CTAAACAGACGGACACATAGAAACAAAGTCTGTAAAAGAGAAAAAGATTGGTGTAGCAATATTAATAGACAAAACAGAATTTAGGAAAGAGGAGCATTAACAGTAATATAGAGAGAAACTCTAAAGTATTAAAAGCAAAATTTCACCAAATAAACATAACATTCTCACCTAATTTGCATTACATCTAAAAACATAGCTTCAAAGCACATAAGAGAAAAACTGATAAAATTATTAGTGAAAATTAACACATTTTAACAAGTCTGTAAGAAAAATGGAAATAAATATGTCAAACAAATAATAAACTAGTAAAGATATAGAAAAATCAAATTTAACAAGCCTAATTATATATATATAACCGTATCAATAAATGAGGAGTGGGTTATATACATATGCATATACACCCACTCCTCACTTATCAACATGGTTAGTTTCCAAAGACCAGGTCATTATGTGAAAATAGCATTATATGAAAATGAGAGATGACCACATCAGACCACAAAATGGAGGATGACTACATCATTACATAACTCCCAAATTACATCATTACCAAGCCTACTGCTGTCGAGTTGATTCCAACTCATAACAACTCTGTAGGATAGAGTAGAATGGCCCCATAGGATTTCCAAAGCTGTAAATCTTTATGGAAGCAGACTGCCACATCTTTCTCCCATGTGGTCAATCCACTAACCTTTAGGTTAGCAGCCAAGAGCTTTAATCTCTGGGCCACCAGAGCTACTTTACATCATTACATAACTGCCAAATTGCATCATTAAGTAGCCTGTCAAGCCACTGAGAATCACGGCCCAGCCAAGATGACATATAACCAAATCTATCACATCCAGCATTATCCTCACCTTGCACCACAGCATTTGTTACTGCCAGAGGTAGGTGGTTAATGTGCAATATAGTCGGATAGTAGATTTTTTACTATTGTTGTAAATGCTAAATGTTGGATAACGAGATAGCCTTTAAGTGAGGAGTGGTGTGTATATATATATATATATATTCACACAACGAACATAGAGGAAATACATACTTTTCTATTACACATGAAGTCATTTATAAAATTTGTATAATTTGTAAAGGAAATTCTATTTCTAAATATATATAACATATAAATTACATTCTCTGAACATAGTCATTTTAGGTGGATGAAATGGATGAGTTGAGATAATTGAAAGAGGAGATGTGCATAAAAAACAAACTTTTCTTCCTCAATGATTTTGCTTTAATAAGCATGGACATCATTTAGTCTAAAGATATAAGATACATAGGAGGCAGTCTAGTATGTCAAAGTAAACAATAAAACATTTATTTATTTTTAAAACACAAATACCATTAATTTAGGGACTTCATTGGCTAAATTGACCCAAACCTGGCTCTCGCATAGCCAACATTTGTGCCTCATGCAGAGTTGGTGCTTTGTTCCCTGGGGCTTTAATCCCTGTTGGAATGAAAAGAAATTTAATATGAGGGAGAGAGGATCTCCCATCCCAGTTTTAGGGGAACAGTGTTTAATTCCATGCTCTGGGAGTGCCTGATTCTTTTGCTAAAAGATTTTGTTATAGGACTGATGTTCTCCCTGCTCCAAACTTAAAAGACAACTGTGTTTTATGAAAGGCAATAAATTCTCCACTTGGGAAAAAACAAAACTGCTTACTAAATGGTACCCTGTTTTCCACATGTGCAATGAGAAGGTGTTCTTCTGTTTGTGACAAAACATTAATATGACAATATTGGTTCTTGGGTCTGTGAAACACACTTTGTGAACTTGGGTAACTCAGGGTTTGCCACAGGGTTTCCAGAAAGCAAAAACTAAAGATTAAAAGGTATACCATGGTGGCCCTGGAATTAGTTTTCAGCTCAGAACTATCATAAAAATAAAAAAGGCATTAATTAATAATAACTAATATTTGTTAAGCATCATAGGCACTGTGCTGAACATTTTATGTACATTATCACATTTCATCTTCTCAATTCTGGAAGATCTCATATTACAGATGGGAAAACTGAGGCCCAGAGTGCCTATGTCAGTCCTCCAAGGATTTATATTTAGATAATCTAAGTTCAAATCCTTCTGTCTTCATGACCACATGAAATGTACTCTAATAAGGAAAAAACTTTACGGGGTGGTTGGCTCTATCTAACATTGGAGGAGGCTGCCTTGGGTAAGTGTCCAAGAAGAGGCTGGATTATCTTTTCTCAGATATGCTCAAGAGGGTTTCTTAAGTCAGGTGTAGAAGGAACTAGATGTCTCTGTGGTAATTTCAAACTCAGAGCAAATGGGGAATACAGCTGTTTGCTCATGTTGATAGCCTTAAGAATAAAGCAAGGGCATCATTACTCCTAGGAGCTGTTTTTATACTGAACTGTTGTTGTTGTTGTCAGGTGCCCTTGAGTTGGTTCCAACTCATAGCAACCCTATATACAACAGAATGAAACACTGCCTGGTCCTGCGCCATCCTCACAATCGTTGCTGTGTTTGAGCCCATTGAAGTAGGGCTGAGGATAGGAATAGGTCAAGGTTAAGACCCAGAAATAAAGCAATTAAGAATCAGGATGGAATTATTATTTTAGTGTGACTCCTTTAAATCATGCCTCCCCACCTGAATGACAGACCATCTCTCCTTCTCCTTCTGCTACCTTAGGCTGATACGGGCAGTTCTTGTCATTGTCATCATCATTAAGAATGACCCTTTTATCTCTATGTTCCCTTTGCTCTTACAGGCATTCATCCACCTGTACTCTCAGCCAACCCAGCCTGCTAATCAATTGGTCCAAGAGCTGAACTTCGATAGCCTACAGATAGTCTAAAGAATCCTATATCAAGGGTTCTGACATTCAGAAAGATGAGGAGACCTTTTTCCTGCTGCCTATATGCCCTCACTCTAGTGGGAGATGTGGGACAAACAAAATAACATTAACAGCAAGAAAAACAAAAATGTAGAAAATAAGTCCATCAAGATAAGGGCAGATATTGGTCCTCACATCAATGATGGGAATATCAGTGCGAGGAATTTTTCTTGAAGATTGTAGTAGTTTGGAGACAACCATGGTAAAAATTATCATTCCTGAGCATCAGTCTCAAAGATTAAGGATATCCTTGTGAAAGAAACAATATGCAGGGTTGAGAGAGAGGAGAGAGCAAAACTTCATGCACAATCCAGGAAGATTAAAACACAAATATCAAACTAAGGAAGGTTTAGAGGAAACAAAATAATGTAAAGACTGGGAACAATGCATCTATTGGGACCATTACATCTCATGACAAACAAAATGGTGAATTTTATGGATTATGACCTCTTTATTAATAGCAGCAACAATACTTTATTAGACTCCAACTCTGAGGCCTCCAAAAGCTGAAACAACCACTATGTCATTAGTGAATCCTTAGCACCTAACACAGTACCTGACAGAATAGCTACTCAACTTTTTTTTTGTTTTCAAATAAACCTTGAAAACTGGAGGAGTAAACCCTTTCACCACTTTCTGAATAATAGTCATCACATTTTACGTACTGAATAATGTATTTCCTTTGGAACTTTTCTTAGATTCAGTGATTAGCCTAGGATAGAAGCTCTGTGCAGTGGGCATAAGATGACTGCAATTTTAAGAGCTTGGTTATGGGTTCAGACAGAATTAAGTTTCTGCCTTAGATTCCTAATAATTAGCTCTGTGCACTTGGACTAGTTGGTGAAACTCTGTGTTTTATGTTTCTCATCTAAAAAAAAATGTGTTAATAATATTTATTTCACAGGATTGTTATGAGAATAAATGAGAAAATACACCATCCGAAATGTTAGCTCGTAGAATTGTCTTCGGAATTTTTCAAAAATGTGATTTCCTGGTTTTCACCCTCAGATTTTCTGAATCGTAAGTTCCAATGATCAATCAGTATAGGGAACCACTGATCTTATCCAACCCCATCATTTACAGACAAGGAAACTGAAGGTAAGAAAATTAAGTGGCTCATTCAAAATGTCACAGTTTAGTAGCAGAGAAGGTACAAAATCTTGCCCTTGAAACCTCTAGTCCGATAGTCTTTCCATGATACCACCATCACCTAAGCACTGAGATGTTCACAGAAGAAATAGCCAGTGGCTCCTATGACTCCTCAAGGACTGATAAGGTTTCATAAACTTTTGTACAAAGAAGTTTGTAGAATTGAATTTCTTGAACACTAAATACAGTAAACAAAATGATATATTCATTGGCGACAGAGAAAGATATACAGTACCTAAGTTTAAGTTCCAGATCTGTCACTAATTAGCTATAGGAACTTAGGCACGTCATTAAATTTCTTTGAGCTTCAGTTTTGACATTTAAATAATAGTGGTTCCTGACTTAGGGTATTTTCAATTTCCAGAAATATCACATATGTAAAAATATTTTAAATGGTAAAGTGCTAGAGAAATACAGTAGATAACTATTTTTGTTATTTTTTGCATCACTCCCTTTGGGCCTAGAACTCTATCACATGCTATTTACATCATCAGTCCATGGTTGCTGAATGGAGATTAAGGAGTAAATAGCAGAAGTGTTACGAAACTTTTTATTAGCTTAGGATATTGACTAATAGAGGGATTCGTCGCTGGAAAGGAATTGGAGGAAGTTAACAGTAGTGATTTTCGGAACTATCATATCCTTCATAGTTTTCTCTTCTACCTTATCCTCTGCATCCACCAGCATATGGGACCACAGAAGATAAGAACCGAAGCCTAGCTGATGGAGTGTGAGGAGATAGCCAACCTGCGGTATAAAGCAGGAGAATCCATGCACACTCCATTGAGCTATCACAAGTATGGTGAGGCTATTGATGTGAACAGACTATCCAGTTGCTACTAATGACTTGGAAACAGCTGTTTTTCATTCTTGTTAATGATAATAGAATAAAGAGCTCTATGGCAATAGAAAAAAAAAAGAGCACAATCATAGATAAGACAATGAACAGCAAAAAATTGAACTTCCAGGAGGCTTTTCAGAGTCTCCCAGATCTAGAGCTATCTCCTAGCCCCACCAGCCCTCTTCTGAGAGCAGAAAAGCCTCTCAATAGCATCTTTCATGTCCTTGTTTCTGAGGCTGTAGATGAGGGGGTTGAGGAAGGGAGCGAGGACAATAAAAGTGACAGCATTTGCTGTGTCCCAGAACACTGAGTAGATGGCTGAGAATCGCAAATACATGACAGCCACACTGCCGAAAAACAGCAGGAACACAGCAAGGTGGGCGGCACAGGTGGAAAAGGCCTTGTGACGGCCCTCCACTGACGGCATCCTCAGGATTACCACAATGATCCGAATGTAAGATAGGGCGATGACCAGGAAGGAGGCCAGGATCTCCACTGCATGAATGGCGTCCACAATGACCACCAGCGATGTATCTGTGCAGGCCAACCTTAGCACAGGAGTGAAGTCACAGAAGATCTGCTGGATCTGGTTGGAGCCACAGAAAGGAAAGGTCGCAATCCATGTGATTTCAGGGAGCACAAGGAGGAAGCCACAGAAGCAGGAGCCAGCTGTTAGCTGAATACACAATTTGGGAGTCATGATGGTTGGGTAACGGAGAGGATTGCAGATAGCTATGTATCTGTCAATGGCCATTGCTGTCAGGACACAGCCTTCTGTGATGCCAAGTGAGTGGAAGAAGTACATCTGCAGGAGGCAGCCAGCCAGAGAGATGTTCTTCTGCTCACTAACTAGATTGGAGAGCATCTTCGGGATGGTGGTTGTGGTATACCAGATCTCCAGGAAGGAGAGGACACTGATGAAGAAATACATTGGGGTGTGAAGTGCTATGTCTAGCTGGATGACAATAAATATCATTAGGTTCCCAGTTATGATAAATCCATAGATGAAAAGCAAGGGAATAAAGAATAAAAGGCCACCTTCATGCAGATCTGGGAACATAGAGAAGAAGAACTCAGTCACCATTGTCTGATTCTCACTGATCATTAGTCGTGTCATCTATGAAGGGAGGAAGGAGACAAAGAAACTATTGGAATTGGAATCCTCGTTATCCATTTAAAATTGCATCATTTCTTCCTATAGGTACTTAAGGTGACTCTGGGATCCTAAACATGCCAGTCAGAAATATCTTTTAAGCTGTGCTTCTATGCCAGAGACCTCTGAAAGATTTGCTTTTGGACCTGTAAATGACATTTTTACAAACATCTCCAACTGATGCCAAGAAACCACAAAACAACATACAGATTAATTTATCTCAAAAATACTTTCTGGAGATCCACTCCCTTCTTTAATTTCTGAGTCCTTCTCCCCACTTACTGTCCCTATGTGTTTATCCTTAAAACGTGTACCTCTTTTTCCAACCATTCTCCACTCTGCCCCTTCAGGAAAAAAAAAAGACACTAATAATAGTAAAAATATAAAGACCATATCTGGAGATTTTCTTTCAATACTTTTTCATGTTGCTCTGTCCCACACCCTCCAGCCTTGGTACCTAACCAGCAGGGCTAGATTAGAGTACGCATTTTTATCTCTCTGCCTTATTTCTGTTTGTTTCATAGTAGCATAGTAGCATGTCTGTATCTCATCAGATGGTAACCACCCAGATATCAAGAAATATTCCTTCCACCATTCCCTGCCCTCTCTGTATCTTCTCCTTTGCCCTCTCAATATCTTCACCTTTCCTTCTTCCTCCACTAATGGTCACTGTTAATAGTTGTTCAGGCAAAGAGTCTCCCCAAAATAACCTTGCGTTTGATTACTGGCCACTGAATTCTGGACAAGTATATAACCCCACCCTCCACACCCCATCCCTCTTACCAAGAGCCAAGGGAAAGAGATTATTCTGAATAAAAAAAAAAAATCACTTTCTAATAACTATGACTATCTTGAGGAAGACACATCACAAAAATCAGCTGTAGCCTATCGTCTGAAACCAGACAAGAGTCTATTTGCAGAGCGGAAAGGACAAGGAAAATTTTTAAGGCTAATTAGTGATAGCGGTATACACTACCTCTCACCTTGACTATTTTAATATCTTTTTTCACTGGTGTTATTATCCCTAACAAGGATTCTGAGAAGAACATTGTTAAGCATGGCTTTTAATATCACTTTTTTTTTCCAAAAACATTAAAAAATAAAGCACAGAATTCTTATATTTATTGCCTTCTTAGACTTGGTTATAATCAAAATTTAGAGACAAATATCCTTTTACATACTCAACAGCTCAGCCAAACAGGACCAGTTTCCTCCACTTCTATTTTTCGCTTATGCCACTTCTTCCTTCCACTCCCTTGATCTTCCTTGCAACTGGAATCCCAGCTGTCAGTGTCCAATAAGTGTTTCCACATTTGTAGAAGTCTCACTGATCCCCAGTGCCAGAAGTGCTCACTCCCTCATCTGGATTCTATCAGTGCTTTATCTGTTCCTCTTTTATGACATGGAATGTGTCCTTCCTTGAAAGTTAAGTATTTGCATATTAGCATTATCTCCTCAAGTCCACTAAAAGCTCCTCAACATGAATTATACAGAAGGGGAAATGAAAGGGTTATTAAGCGTTACAATGTGATGTGTATGATGTTAGGTATTTTACATATTTTACTTGATGTATTTTATGTCATTTATTTCTACTTATAATATACATATTTTTCCTATTATTTTATAGGTAAGGAAATTGAGAACCAGAGAGGAAAAATAGTGTGTCCAAATTTGATTAACTAGGTTTCCAAACCATAACTAGAACCCAGGTCTGGTTGCTTTAGTATATTTTGTATACCAGCAGGAATTTTAGGTCAGGTTTCTTCAGTCATTCTGTTTGTTTCCTAGTCTAAATATCTCTATACTTAGGACTGTCCTGCATGTGAGGTGAGAGATGGGTTTTCACAGAAACTAGCTGATATGGTTTCTTCAGGAGACTCTAGTCTCACAGGGTAGAGCAAGTCAATGCACAGGTCAAATGCAGATTCAAATACATATATTGCAGACAAGAAAAATTAGTTTGTAGAGGATGCCTCTCTCCTTGTGCTTCAGGCCTCCATGAGGAAATAAAAGAGATGCAAACTTTGTGAGGGAACAGGCAACAGAGCTCAGCAGAAGGACAGAGCCCACAAGTAAGGTGTGAGAGAGCTGAAGTGTTCCCTGACCAAAATATCCACTTTTCTGTCCTTTCTGTGTTTGCCTTTTCTCAGCCTAATGTACCAAAGAATGGTCACACTGGGTTGTCATTATGGAGAACATAGACGGACAAGGCAGGGGACTATGGAGCTACAAGAAAAGGCAAGAAAATCAAGCGTGAAGTGGTTGATAAAAGCCAAACAGGGTAACTGCTTTGTTGCTCTGACTTGGGGTCCTTCTCACTAGTAAGGCTGCTATCATCATTCATCATGCACACATTTGTTTAACTAGCACCCATACATTGATTGATCCTCTGCTACGTGATAGTCACTGCCATAGGTTCAAGGACTATATAAAGGTGAATAAATCATTATTCTTGCTCCTGAAAAACAGATAGGTCAAAAATTGCTTAGAGTGACAGATAACTAGCTGTATCCAAGCAGCTCAGACTACAAATATTCCTTGTATAGAGAAAAGAGGCTTGAATTAGATTTTGGTTTTGGACAAAAGCGATAATTTGCTGTGTGAGTCTCCCTTCCGCTAATCCAGAAATCCATAATTCTTTGGGCATAGACTGAATTTTAGTGCTGGAAAGGCATTAGTTATTATCAGTATCTTCCTCTATTAGCTGAATTATATTTTTTCCAATGTAGCTTATAGATTTCATATCTCATTATTCTAATTTCTTTATTCGTATAATAAAGTTCTAAAATTACAAGATTTTACCCAATCTATTGAGGAGATTTTTACAAATTCTAAATATCTGAGTTTTTATCTAATCTGTTGAGGACATTTTACCCTGAAAGCCCAGAGCAATAGCTGGTTTCTCAAGAGTTAAGAACATAAGGATAGCATTTGGCAGGTACCGTAGGAGAAAAAGGCGCGTGAGAGGTCTCCTTTGGATGATGCCCTCTCACAACTGTCTTGAGCACTTACCTCTGCCTGAGACAGCAATTACTGCTCCTCAGAATCTCTGAAGCTACTTGCTCCTTCTCCTACTCTGTTGATGAGGATATAGATGTCTCTGAAGCCTGCTCAGGGAATATCTAGAAGGGAGAGATTTTTTTCTTGGGAGTTTCTTTGTAGATGATGCAGGAATTAAAGAAAAATAGCACATTTCACTCTCCCCTCTAAGGGACAAATTAGAGAAAAATGTCACATAGTAATTGGACATTCCCCAGGGTCAGGTCTCAAAAACTTTCCTGTAGATAGGTAACCTTGTCTTTTATTGGGAAGTATAGAGTTGGGCACTAGGACCCAGAATAGCTGTGGGAGAATAGACTTCAGTCAGGATCAAGTTCTCTGAAGTACACAATCAGTAAACACAGATTTCCTCTCAGATTTTTCTCACCATGCTTTCCATTCCCTCTGCTGATGTTATAATGATAATAATAATAGTACATGTCTATATTAAATGTAAAGAAGCCCTGGTGGTGCAGTAGTTAAGTACTCGGCTGCTCACCAAAAGGTCAGTGTTTCAAACCTACCAGACACTTCCTGGGAGAAAGATGTGACAATCTGCTTCTGTAATGATTTATAGCCTTGGAAACTCTATGGAGCAGTTCTACTCTGTCCTATAGGGTGACTATGAGTCAGAATTGGCTTGAAGGAAGTGGGTTTGGTTCGGGTTATAGGAAAAGTTTCAAAGGTTTGTGTATATACATTATCTCATGTGATCCTTTAACAAATGTATGGGGGCTGGTCAGGCCAGAGACTACCTAGTAACCAGATGTCAGTTGTGTATTTGAACTTTAACACTGAGGTGCTGCCTTAACAGAATTGGGTGACTCCAGGCCTGAATTCAAAACTCTCTTCTGAATTAAACTGAAATCTTTACTTCTACTGTTCTAAAGAGACAATTCAGTCTCTTTTAAAAATTTAACTACTTGTAACACAAAGCAAGCAGGAGTCAGGATTTCTGGCATGGATGAGGAATTATTTGTTGAAGGTATCTGTTAAGAATGTTTACTCAGCTTGGTATGAAAAGAATGCTGTCATGGTTTGAATCATGTTCCCCAAAAAATATGTGCATCAGTTTGGCTGGGCCTGATCCCCAGAATTGTGTGGTTGGCCTCCATTTTGTGATTGTAATTTTATGTTAAAGAGGGTTAGGTTGGGATTGTAAAACCACATTTACTCAGGTCACATCCAATGTAAAGGGAGTTTCCCTGGGGTGTGGCCTGTACTACCTTTTATCCCTCCAGAGATAAAAGGAAAGGGAAGCAAGCAGAGAGTTGAGGACCTCGTACCATCAACAAAGCAGTGCCAGGAGCAGAGCACGTCCTTTCGACCAGGGTCCCAGTGCAGAGAAGCTCCTAGTCCGGGGAAACACTGAAGAGAAAGCCAAGAGAGAGAGAAAGCCTTACCCTGGAGCAGACACCCTGAATTTGGACTTTTAGCCTACTTTACTGAGAGGAAATAAGCATCTGTTTATTAAAACCATCCACTTGTGGTATTTCTGTTACAGCAGCACTAGATGACTAAGACAAATACCTTGCTTAAGCTTGTCTCCAGAGCCTAGGAAATAGACTTGATAAGGTTAAGGTGGATTTCCTGGTTTCCTGACTCCTCCAAATTAAACTTCATTTACCACTTCTGCCAACTTTTTAAACTTAGGCAAAGCATAAGCTTGTTATCTTAAGATAAGGGGAGAGGCAGGCAGGCAGCTGTATTGACTTAATCTATTCCTGACAGAATGCTTTGTCAAACAAATCTCAGGATGTAGCAAACAGACTTACTGATGATGTCAAGAAGAATGTCTTGATGAAACATTTTCCAGGAGATGAGAGATTTATGTTAGGTTAGAGATTAATATTAAGTAAATTTGTAGCTTGACAAACTTCTTGTAAATCCTTGCTATGTAATTTCCCGTGTGTGTGACTGTGAGCACATCTCTTTGTTTCACCTAATAAAATCCTCACTGTCCTACCTGCAATTTGGAACACAGCTGCAACTCTACTTGAGTGCTCTTGTGTTTCCCCATTTCACAAAATGTTTTGTTTTATATCCTTCCATAAACCTCTGTTTTAATTTCTAGCACAGTGTAAGTCTGGTGTGTTTTCATTACAAGGCAACTGATCTCAGAAAGAGGGACATGGTTCAATCAACTATGTTAAGATTAACCAAAAACCAAACCCATTGCTGTTGAGTTGATTCCAACTCATAGTAATGCTATAGGACAGAGTAGAACTGCCCCTGTTATGGATTGAATTGTGTCCCCCAAAAATACATGTCAACTTGGTTAGGCCATGATTCCCAGGATTGTGTGGTTGTCCTCCATTTCATGATTGATGTAATTTTTCTATGTGTTGTCAACCCTAATCTCTGCCTGTGGTTAATGAGGCAAGATTGGGTTATGTTAAAGAGGATTATGGTGGGATATAATACCCTTACTCAGGTCACATCCCTGATCCAATGTAAGAGGAGTTTCCCTGGGGTGTGGCCTGCATCACCTTTTATCTTACAAGAGATAAAAGGAAAGAGAAGTAAACAGAGACTTGGGGACCTCATACCACCAAGAAAGCAGTGCCAGAAGCAGAGTATGTCCTTTGGACTCAGGGTCCCTGTGCAGAGAAGTTCCTCATCCAGGGGAAGATTGATGAGATAGAACTTCCTCCAGAGCCAACAGAGAGAGAAAGACTTCCCCTGGAGCTGATGCCCTGAATTTGGACTTCTAGTCTACTAGACTATAAGAAAATAAATTTTTCTTTGTTAAAGCCATCCTCTTGTGGTATTTCTGTTACAGGAGCACTAGATAACCAAGACAGAATTTGGTA